TCTCTAGTTTACCCCATGATTTTTTACCCTTCACATTGAAGGGGCTTTCCACGTATATCTTGGTGTTCTATTTTATTGTGATTCCATTTAATTCTATTGCGTATTATGGTCTTCTAGTACTTATTCATATACAAAGGTTATTCCGCATTATATCCCATCAACTGGTATCAGAGCAAGGTTTTGGTGATTTAATTTTATATTTGAACATGGAGGTCAGTAGTATTTCTCGTATGATTAATTTGAATGGAAACAATTGGATGATATAGAAACCAAGAATGAAAAATCTCTTGTGTTGCAAAGATTTGTATGGACCTTTGCAAGGGGATAGTGCAAAACCCATAACTATGATAGATGATGAGTGGAAGATGTTAGATCGAAAAACAGTTGGGTTTATTCGACAATGGCTTGATGATAGTGTCTTTCACCATGTTTCTATTGAAATTTCTGCATATTCTCTTTGGAAAAAGTTAAAAAGTCTTTATGAAAGAAAAACAGTTGACAACAAAGCTTTTTTGATCAGAAAACTTGTGAACCTAAAATATAGAGAGGTTGCTTCTATTGCTGAGCATTTGAATGAAATGTAGAGTATTACTAACCAGTTATCCTCTATGAAAATGTCTCTTGATGATGAGTTGCAGGCATTATTACTTCTCAATTCATTACCAGAAAGTTGGGAGACACTAATGGTTTCCCTCAGAAATTCTGCGCCAGATGGTGTTGTCACTATGAGTCAAGGAACAAGCAGCTTGTTAAATGAAGAGTTAAGAAGAAAGAGTTCAGCAACATCTTAGAATGATTCACAGGCACTTATCTCAGAGAACAGAGGAATGTCAAAGTCTAGAAGCAGTTCACGCATGAGTAGGAGTAAGTCAAGATCAAGAAAAGATATTGTTTGCTATAACTGTGGTGAGAAAGGACATTTCAAGAACCAATGTAAGCAACCTAAGAAGAGCACGAAAAAGGAAAAAGAAGTGGAGTCTATAGAGTCAAAAGATAATATCACAACTATAGTGCAGGGTGGTAATTATTTGATTTTGTCTCATTCTGATGATATTTTTTCTTGTGTGTGTCAGGATCTTGAGTGGGTGATTGACACATATGCTTCTTATCATGCTACACCACGGAGGGAGTTTTTTGCTATCTATAGGTCTGAAATTTTTGGTGTTGTCAAGATGGGCAACTATGGCACAGCAGACATCATTGGCATGGGTGATATCCATTTAAAGACCAACCTTGACTGCAAGTTAGTGCTTAAGGATGTGAGGCATATGGTTGACTTGAGGCTAAATTTAATTTCAGTTGGAAGGCTAGACGATGAAGACTATGATACTAGATTTCATAGAGGGCAATGAAAGCTCAGTAAGGGTTCTCTTGTTATAGGTAGTGGAAAGAAATGTCATACTTTGTACAAGTTGCAAGCTAAAGCTTATGGTGAGCAGTTAAATGCTATAGAAAAAGACTTCAGCATGGAGTTGTGGCACAGGTGACCGGGATACATAAGCGAGAAGGGGCTGCAAGCTCTTTCTAAGATAGAGGTATTGCTAGACCTCAAAGGTACATATTTAAACCCTTATATTAATTATTTGGCTAGTAAACAACACAGAGTTTCATTTGCTAGTCCTGTTTTGTCTAGAAAAATGCATGTCTTAGACCGTGTTTATACAGATGTATGTGGTCCTTTGAGGACAAAAACTCCTGGTGGATCTGTTGATGTTCCTGGTATAAGTGGTGCACTTTATTTTTTCACTTTTATAGATGATTTTTCCAGAAATATTTGAGCCTATGCTTTGAAGACCAAAGATCATGTGATTAATGTCTTCAAAGAGTTTCATGTTAGGGTTGAAAGAGAGACAGAAAGACAATTGAAATGCATAAGATCAAATAATGATGGTGAGTATATAAGATTATTTAATGATTATTACAGGTCACATGGGATCCAACATGAGATAACAGTTCCTAGTACACCTCAGCATAATGCAATTGTAGAGAGGATGAACCACGCTTATGATTTGGTGCTACTACCAAATGGAATAAATGCTTGCAACTCATCATCAAAAGACATTTTCATAGAGGATAACTGGTTAGTAATACTCAGCATTTCATTCAAATACTCAGCAATAGAAGCACCATCTCTATATTTTAGGTTCACAAGTTTTCTGATCAAAAAAGTTTTGTTGGCAGCTATTTTTCTTTCATAGAGACTTTTCAACTTTTTCCAAAGAGAATATTCAGAACTTTCAATAGAAACATGGTGAAAGACACTATCATCAAGCCACTATCGAATAAACGGAACTATTTTTCAATCTAACATCTTCCATACATCATCTATCATAGTTATAGGTTTTGCACTATTCTCCTACAAAGGTTCATACAAATCTTTGCAATACAAGAGATCTTCCATTCTTGGTTTCCATATCATCCAATTGTTTCCATTCAAATTAATCATGCAAGAAATACTATTGGGCTCTATGTTCAAATATAAAAATTAAATCACTATAATCCTGCTCTGATACCAGTTGATGGGATATAAAGTGAAATAAACTTTTGTATATGAACAAATATTAGCAAGTTATAACACGCAGCAGAATTACATAGAATCACAATCAAATAGAACACCAAGATATACGTAAAAAATCCCTATAATGTGAAAGGTAAAAACCACGAGGTAAACTAGAGATAATCCACTATAAGAATAATGAATATACAAATCTCAATCTCTTGCCCAAAACATTAGGAATAATCACAAGAGAATAACTGGGATACAAGGATCACATCACTGTACACAAAATTCTAAATTCTCCCCAAGTAATCACAGTGAAAATCTACTATATATTTGATCTAATATGAGATGAGAACACTGCTAGATGATTGAGAATAGTCTCTCTATATTGTCTTTATTTTCTTCCCTTTTTTTCTCCTTGGATTTTTATCTTTTTCTCCTCCTTTTTGCTGCTGCCAAGATGTGTCATGCTGCCCTCGTTGCTACCTTTTTATGCTTAATATAAATTAGGGTTAAGTTAAGATGGGGTGAGCTGTGAACTGATAAAATCCATCTTGGGCAGAACGTGGGCTGTCAGCCCAACTTCCTCGTTACGTTCCTTGTGTTTTAATCAATACCTAATCGGATATTTTCTCTAATAGATTAAACATTTTGAGATTACACATCACTCAGCCGACGATCACACGTTTGTGGATGATGTGTTCGACACAACTTTTATGAGAATCACATCATTCTCGGAATCCATCCACAATCTCTCGTTGTCTTGATGGTCGTTCCATCAACATGTAACAGTGCTAAAGTCGCAATCGCTTCCTATTGCGATCACGAATTAAAGTCAGAGTTAGGAGCAGATGTGATTCACCTCCAATTTGAAGTCAAAATCATATGAGAGTGATGGCACTATACTTCTCCTGACTTGTCAACTTTGACCATACGTGAAATTATTCATATTCCAAATGAATAATGGATCCGTGATTTCTGATGCAAGAAGGGACGAAACCACCACCTTATTTGTTTTCTATAAGGTAAAGTCCTCATCACCTTTGATTAAATTAAATTAAATTAAATTAAATTATTATTATGTATCTTTTTTCATCTCCTTCGCTATCAATCTTTGTGAATTATTGATGCCTACTGTTTTATCGAAGCCGAGATATTTTTTATATTCACAATCATATAAGAACAAGACACCAGTGGGAAGAGAAATATTGCAGTGATAAATTGAATGATTTATGACTTTCAAAAGAGACCGATTTAAGATGATGAGTTGGTTCAAAAAAATTAAAAATTTGCATCAATTTTGAATTTTTTAAATAATTGTTTAATGTAAGTTTAATTTAGGCAAGAATATTAAAATTAAATTAAAATTTGTTTTTAGATGAACAGTTAATTTGGGAGTTTCAGTAGATGCAGAAATATCCATCTTCTGATTAAAATCAGATTATTGGATTTCTTATCTTGACCCCGAGAATTCCTATAGGGTAATGTAGGAAAAATCAAGTACTAAACAAAGAGAAGGAAATATTAAGAGAGATAGGAGAAATTATAAATGATTGTGATACATAATTTTTTTAGTAATGAGTCTACCACACGTCTAATAACATTATTGAAATCTACCATATTTCCGAGATATTTTCCAACAAAAAAAAAAAGGTTTGCAATGAACGTCAAATTAAGCAATTTTACTTATCAGAATTGTATATCCAGAGTTGAAATTTTGATACTTATTCTGACATACTTTATACTTTGAACATTATTTTGTTAATGATGTACCAAATTTATTTATCAATATTGAGGGTTAAAAATCTCACTTTATATATTTTACATCTGAGGTATTGGTCTGTTACTGGTATACAAGATTTATTCACTTAAAGGTTGATAGTTGAAAACAATAATGGAACATATATTTTACTTTAAACCTAATAATGAAAGATTGAGGGTTGGATATCTCATCTTATATATAACTGATCCACGTACCAAATATTGAGGTTCAAAACCTCACTTGATGTATCTAAAACAAAATAATAATAATAATTCTGATGATAGTTTATTAGATCCACTTATTAAAAATTTAAAATTTAAAATTTTATTATATTTTTTAAGATGCTAGTTGTTAATACTTTGTCGAATCAAAATATATCACATTTTATTTTCATATTAAAAAATGAATATATATATATATATAATGTTTGATTTTGATATAATAATCTTTTAACAGGATTATTATTATTATTATTATTATTATTATTATTATTATTATTATTATAATATATATATATATATATATATATATATATATATATATATATA